AAAAAAACTGCTATAAAACAGTTATTTTTAATAATAGCTAAAACTTGGTATGGAGTAGTTGAGAGTTATCCTCAACACATGCTCTGAGCTTCAGCAGATTTAACAACATGATTCAAAAGTATCCTTTTCAGCATCAGATTCTGTTAGTTTGAAACCCAGGTAGAAAGTTCCTTAAAGCCAGGGTTCTCGAGCTGTGGAACAAACTCGATGCCTCAGGAGGGTCCCCAAAGAAATATCAAGTTAAATAAGTTTCAGCTAAAATGGGATGCAGAACATTTTTTAAAAAGCGCTAACGAAAGAGACGAGCAAATTACAGTCTAAGCTTAAAACAGAAACTAAATTAATGCTGTGCTGAATGACTGCTGAAATAAGCTAAAGCAGCTGAAGCTGAAAGTAGCAGAACATTTATGTCTAAGCAAAATGCTAGCAAAGAGCAGCAAAAGACTAGCTAAGTAAAGAGGATACAAAGGCTAAAAAGGTATAAAAAAGTGAGCAGAAAGTTACATGAAAAGTAGCTAAAGCTGCTAAAAGCTAGCTAAAAACTAAAAGCAGCACAACACTAAACCCCAAAAACTAGCTACAAGTAGCAAAATACTAGCTAACATCAGCAAAAAGTAAAGCCAAAAATAGCACAAGCATAGCTATGAGCTAAACGTGTCAAAAGGCTAGCTATAAACTAAAAGAAAAAGTACAATAGCTAAATGCAGCAAAATGCTAACTAAAACCAGTAAGACTAGCTAAAACAGTACTAAAAACTGAATTTTAAAAGGCTGGCTAAAAAAAAATTGTTGAATGGCTAAAAAGCAGCAAAAGGCTACTTAAAAGCTAAACAGGAGCAAAATGGTAGCTAAAAGGTAAAAGGTACTATATTTAACTTTTACGTTTGGCCTTAAAAGGGTGCGGTTTGCTGTTCTAGATATTTAAGACACAGATTTAAAGAAAATCAGGTGAGGCGTGTTGCGGATGACTGACAGGTATCACTTTGACGTTCCAGAGTTTTCCTGAAAAACTACTAAACATCTCGTTTAACATCTGCTTTAAATTTTATAAAGTTTGCATTGACGAATAAACATTTCCAGAATCAGATTATTGACGATCCAGCTCACCTCGGCCTCCTTCCAGGAGCTCAACCTCCACAGAGGTGGTGGATAGAGGAGTCGACGTGTCCCTCACTTCCCCTCCTCCTGTTTCCACCACCATCCACCGCTCCTCTCCATCCTCTTCTTCACCCTTATCTGCCAACTTGTCGCTCTTTCCTTCAGGCTTGCAGTCTCGTTGCTCACCCTGTGCCCAGCAGTTCCTCTCTACTGGATTATGCTTCAAGAAGTCTTGGAGAGAGAACTCCTCTTCCCAGTCCAGCTCAACTCCAGGCTGAAGAAGGAAAGAAAATTACAGTGGACACATGTATTGTGCTGTTGAACAAGCCTTTCCATCCACTTACTGCAAATCACATTTAAGACTTTAAGACTTCATCTTTCTGTGGGAATGTTATGAACAAATAACATCTTACCTGTTGTAGATAACTTTTGGAATGTTTGGTTCAGACTGGATACACAAGCTCTGAAGGCTAGCTAGAACTGGACCAAGACAAGTGGGTCGCTGCCATCTTAAGACAAGTGCAAACATTTGATCAGGGATCTTCTGCCAAGTTAAGCTTGTTCTACCTATTCAGCTTGGTTTTTAGATAAATTAAGTTCGTAGTAATTTCTGCTACTTTCATACTAACTTCATGCTCATTTCAGCTTGTTATGCCTTTCAGCTTTTTTTGCTAGTTTCAGCTTTCTCTGCTATTTCAGTTATTATTTAGATGTTTTAATGCTAATTTTAGCTTTTTCAGCTAACTCAACATTTTTTGTAATTATTTTTTTTTTTTTAACCAATTTCAGCTCTCCGCTTCCTTTTGGTAGTTTAAGCTTTTTTCTGCGTTTTCAGCTATTTTTTTTGCTAATTTCAGCTTCATTTTTTTAGCCAATTTCCTCATGTTTGTGCTTGTTTCTGCTTATTTAAACCTAATTCAGCAAATGAGTGTTCTTTTGGCTTTCTTCTGCTAATTTAGGCTTGTTCAGTATGTTTTTTAGCTAATTTCAGCTGTTTTCAGCAAGTTATTCTGCAGTAAGCATCCACACTGCATTTTCACAGGAAATGCAATTTCTCTAGGTTTCATCCTACGGTTACTCTTTGGTCTTGGTTGAATCAAATCGTTTCCCCAAACTGAGGTAATTCTAAGAGCTACCCACGACAGGTAAGATATTGTTTGTTCATAACGATCCCACAGAACCCTGCTTCAAATGATCTGAACGCTGCTTTTTTTTTTTTAAAGCTCAACCCAACAAACTCAAAGAGAACAGTTACATAATGTAAATTTATTTTCATGGAGTTCTGTGACTATTTGCAGCAGCAGAACCCACCTTCAAGCAATCTGAGATTTTGCCTTCGTAAAGCCGTAAATGTTAAAACCAATTTGTGTTTGAATAAACACAGACACAGAAATAAAGTTTTCAATATTTAAAATAGTAATAAAATATTACAGTAATTTAGAAGAAGCTTTTCAAAGTTTCCATTGAGAAAACCATTAGAAAATAGGATTCAGTATCATGTCCATGGATACTTCAGCATGCATCAGCTGAAGGTTGGAACCAGCAACCTTCCAACTGAAGCAAGCCACCCCACCCCCTCCCGAAAACTGCATGTGATGGACAACTCGTTCCCCGAGTTATTCTCACCACAGAGCGCTTTTTCTGCAACGACGACGATGTTGTGAGGTTCAAGTACACCTGAGTGCACTCAGAGTTTTGAAAAGTGTGCAGTTCTGTGGCCTCATCCGATTCTGCATGCACGCGTGTGGGCGTATGTCCACTCCAGCTGCCAACTCACGCCGCTCCGTCCTACCAGATACTTCGTCTGTCTGAACGCACGACGAGTTGCATCACAGCTCTTAAGGCAAACCAACTGATGGTCGTAGATTATATATTCAAAATATCAAATAATAAAAATAAATATAGCTCTAAACCCGGTAAAGAGTTTGCTTGAACCCCAAAACTTCATACAAATTTACTTTTAAAGAAATGGCATTTTCTGCTGAAATGCAGACTTAAAATATTAAAAGTGAGTTGTTAGAGCCAAATAAACCAATTAAATCAGATTTATTTATAAAAACATCTGCCATTCACTAAGATTCTGCACACAAAACAAGTAAAAAGTGGACCAGCCTGGACCTCAGGTTAGCTACAGTAAATGATCATT